AGACTTTTTTCCCTGTACTAAAAACAAAGCCTCTCTTTTGAAAAACTTCATAAGCTCTTCTATCTATGGAAGTTCTTCAAATGATATTTGTGTTCTAAGAAAACATTTAAATTAAAAAAGTTTTTCTCTTTTCAAAAGTTCTTCACTCGATTTGTGGATAAAAAAATGTTTCTTTAAAAAATCCACTTTTGTAAATGAATAAAAATATTCCTCAAAAAATCCTCGTTTGTGGCTCAAGAGGTCCTGGCAAAAAATATTCCTTAAAGAATCCTCGTTTGTGGCTCAAGAGGTCCTGGCAAAAAATATGCTTTAAAAATCCACGTTTTGTAAATGAATAAAAATATTCTTTAAGAAATCCTCGTTAGAGGCTCAAGAGGTCCTAGCAAAAAATATTCCTTAAAAAATCCTCGTTTGTGGCTCAAGAGGTCCTGGCAAGAAATATTGTTTAAAAAATCCACGTTTTGTAAATGAGTAAAAATATTATTTAAGAAATCCTTGTTAGTGGCTCAAGAGGTCCTGGCAAAAAATATTCTTTAAAAATCCACGTTCATGATACAAGAGGTCCTGGCAAAAAATATTCTTTAAAAATCCACGTTCATGATACAAGAGGTTCTGGCAAAAAATACTTTATAAAAATCCACGTTAGCGATTCAAGGGGTCCTGGCAAAAAATATTTTTTTAAAAATCCGCGTTTGTGATTCAAGAGGTCTTGGCAAAAAATATTCTTTAAAAATTCACCTTAGTGATTCAAGAGGTCCTGGCAAAAAATATTCTTTAAAAATCGACGTTCGTGATTCAAGAGGTCCTGGCAAAAAATATTCTTAAAAAAAAACCAGGTTAGTGATTCAAAATTCACGATTGTGACTCAGGAGGTCCTGGATAAAATATCCTTTAGGTCTTGGGAAAAATATTCTATGAAAAAGGTATAGTGTTTGGAAGACTTTTATAATTTCTTCTTCCTTTAAAGGACCTTTTTTATAAAAGACCTTTCCTTGGGAAAAAATATTCTTAAAAAACCCAGGACCTGGAAAAAATATTCGTTACAAAATTTATATTTTTCTGATCCCTTAAGATATTTATTTCTTTGTAGACCTTTGGAAGAAGGTATTCTCTCCATAGAAGAATTTAAGAGGGTCGGCATAGATGGCCTCTAAAAGTTCTTCTATTTATAGAAAGCTTTTGGAAATGTTTTAGAAGAACTTTACAGAGGGCCTCTTTCAACAAAGAGTTGTTATATTAGGTGCCAACTCTAATTTTCTCTCTCAACCTCTCTCTCTCTCTCTTTCTAACCCAATATTTTCAATTTTATGTGCGGAAGCATATGAATTGCATACAGTTATAAAGTAATATAAAATAAAACAAAAATTATAAATTATGACGTAGCTGGTATTGCATAGAGCGCCCACTCATTTATATTGCAGTGAATTATTTGCCATTGCCAATTATAACATTTCTTGCCAGAATAAATGGATAAACCAGCTGGCTGGTTGCTATTAGCTATGGGACGGGTATACAGCACCCCAAGCGTAGCGTTAATTTTTTTTTTTGTGTTTCTTTTCTCCCACAATAATATCAACAAACTAATTTCTTTGCATTTTTTGACATTGACATTTTCGACTGGGGCGACTATCTCATTTTGGAATGCGTCTAATCGCTGTGGCTTTCAGGGTCAGTACAAAGAATGTACGCATAATTTAGTTTTGTACAAAACCCAATATTGAAACAATTTTCATTTCATGTTTCATGTAATTTTTTCTTTGGTTGCCGTAAATTACTTTGGCTATTTCTAGAGGCGTAGATTTGTGTTGTTGTTTTTGGTGCGGTTGTTTTCCTTCGCCATTTGTCGGTTTTCCTACGCGGTAATTAGTTATTAGCTGCTGGTTTTGTTGTTGTTGTTGAATTTTTCTACATTGAGTTTGTGTTGCAACAGCGTTTGATCAATGCATGAATGAATGACTGACTCTTAGAGATCAATGAGCTGCCGGTTTTGTTGAATTTAAATTGTTTCCGAATCGTTGCCGATTCAATGGAAATGATAAATTTAATTGCTGCTCTGGGTAAAAATTCCACAAGCATTTGCTCGCATGGAATTAAATCAATTAATATAATAAGATCTGAGTTGAAATTTCCCTTAGGCTTTTGGGCTAGGTTCTGACGACGTTGTTACACATCCAATAAAATATGTGCACGCTACAGTTTGTCATATTTACATTTCTTTTATAGATATTTTTATATTTAATAAGGAGCAGAACATTTTGATGTGGGAAATTTCCAATTGAGGTCCAAGGCAATCGATAAGAATAGTCAAGATTCTAAAGGGTTCAGGAAGCGGCCTGAGATGAAGAAACAAAAAAAATTTAATTTTTTGTAGACCCCAAAAAATTGGAAACTGACACTTCAGATCTCTAGTGGGTACAACACATTGTCAACGTCTAAAGTATATTTTCAATCTTTATACCCTCAGTCATATGGGTATAGAGAGGGTATATATGATTTAATACGGCCACAACGTGCCTAATCGAAATAACGGTTTTTGACCCTAGGTCTCTTTGCACCAAATTCGTTTCAGGACATTTGGAGTTGATCTAGCGATGTTCGTCCGTCTGTCTGACTGGTGCGTAAGGTAACTCTCAAAGGGAGCATCCTATTTGGTCCAAACTTGGTACATCGTAATATAATTATCAAACTTAGTTCGAGTTCGGAGATGGGTAATATCGGCCCACTTCTTCTGGTACCTCACCCACAAAAGGTCGAATTTTTCAAAAAAAAAAAAAAAAAAAATATATTTTACTGCACAGAAAGAGAGAGAGAGAGAGGATGATTCGATTTTGCTCAAACTTTGCAAATCCTGATATTTGAATCAATGCTAGGTCAGGTGCGAAAATGGCCAATATCGGTCCACCCCATCAGGTACCTCCACCACAAAGGGTCAAAATTTTGAATAATATAAAATGTGATGTTAGAGTCAGATTTTCTTCAAATTCTTACACACATCACAATATTTTTATAAACTCAAGGTCTGGTGTGAAGTTGGAATATATCGGTCCACTCTTTCTGGTACCTCCGCCACAAAATGTCGGAATTTTCTAAAAAATATTTTACTGCACAGAAAGAGAGAGGATAATTCGATTTTGCTCCAACTTTGCAAATCCTGATATTTGCATCAGTGCTAGGTCAGGTGCGAAAATTTATAATATCGGTCCACCCCATCAGGTACCTCCACCAAAAATGGTCAAAATTTTGACTAATTATAACTGTTATAAAATGTGATGTTAGAGTCCGATTGTCTTCAAATTCTTACACACATCATAATATTTTTATTAACCCAAGGTCTGGTGCGAAAATGGACAATATCGGTCCACTCCTCCGCCACAAAGGGTCAAAATTTTGAATATCCATGAAGCTCATAAAACACGAAATCAACATCCGATTCCACTCAGACTTGGCACATCTCAATATTTTCATCAACTCAAGATCTACTGTGAAGATGGGACACATGGGCCCATTTCTTCTGGTGCCTCCCCCACAAAGGGCCAATGTATTGAGTATCATGAAAGTATCATAAAATTCGGAAAAAGAATCCGGTTCTCTTCATATTTCAGAAATCCCATTATTTTTACTAACACAAGATGTGCTGTGAAGATGGAATATATCGGTCCACTCCTTCTGGTACCTCCCCCACAAAGGGTCAAAATTTTGAATATCCATGAAACTCTAAAGAGTGGCTTCAACATCCGATTTCATTCAGACTTGGTAAATATCAACATTTCTATCAGCACAAGATCTGTTATAAAGATGGTACAGATCGGACAATTTATTTTGGATCCTCCCACCAAAGGGTCCAAATTTTGAATAACCAAAACGTTCATAAAATCCGAAATAAGCATGCGGTTTTCTTCATATTTCAGACATTCCATTATTTCTGCTAACCCATAAACGCGATTCGATTTCATTCAGACTTGGTACATCTCAATATTTCTATCAACACAAAATCTGTTATAAAGATGGTACAGATCGGACAATTTATTTTGGTACCTCCTCCGCAAAGGGTACAAATTTTGAATTACCAAAATGATTATAAAATCCGAAATAAGCATCTGGTTCTCTTCATATTTTAGACATTCCATTATTTCTGCTAACACAATATCTTCTGTGAAGATGGAATATATCGGTCCACTCCTTCTGGTACCTCTCCCACAATGGGTCAAAAATTTTGAATGTCCATGAAACCCATAAAACGCAAAATTAATATCCGATTCCATTCAGACTTGTTACCATTTAATACAAAACTAGGATTAAGGACTCACATTTTTTTGTAGACCCTTTAAAAATTGGTTGGAATTTAACACTTGAAATCTGCAGTGGGTATAAAAAACATTGTCCACATCAACGTCTATTTCAAGAATTTATTAATAAAAAAATTCTCCCTCATTTCATTCGATGACGTGCATTCCCTTAGGTGATCAAACGTCAAGAAAACATACCCAGGAATATTTTTCAAAATTCTCCGAATTAAATGCAATTGGAAAAAAATATGAACAAAAACCTCTAAAAACACATAAGTCACGGTGCCCAGATTTTGACTTGTAAACAAAAACCTCTTGTTCAGCAGTTCAGTTCGCATAAAACTAACGAACAAATCATTTGTTTTCTTTGTTATTAGAAAATTGTTTAGAATGGAAGTGTGAAAATTCGAAAAACTACCTGATGAAGTGCCATTACGGAAGTGTTGAAAATCATAGAACAGAAGCAGTTGATGAAGAGAAATACAAATTTAAATGTGATAACATAACGAGAATTGTCAATAAAAAAATTATAATATAAACATTAATTACATACATAATGTAATATAAATTAAAAAAAAAAAATAAATCATTAAAAATAATAAATAAATAATAAAATAAATAAAAACGGCGATTTCCAATAACTGAATTTTAAATTAAAATTACAAAAAAATTTATGTAATTCTAAATAAAAAAAAAAAACAAAACAAAAATTTCTAATACAAAAAAAAAAAAAAAAATAAAAACAACAACAATTTCCAATAACCAAATATTAATTAAAAAAATACCCAAAACACATATAGTTCCAATTAAAAATTAAAACAAAAAAATCAAAATTCCCTGCCATGACGACGTCACTTAAATGGATTTGGTATTTATCTTTAACGATATTCGGTAAGTTGTATTTATATATAAGTGTATGTATTTTCGTTTTCGGACTGACGTTACCCGTTTATTGTTTATTCTGCCGGAATATTCTATTTCAAAATAAATATACATGATTTTAATTGATTTATGTTAAATGCCATACATTTTTTTATTGGATAAACATGGGATATATATTTTATTCACAGCGGAATGTGTTTTATATTTTGAATTAAAATAGCTCATTCGAATGGGGGAATTTTATTGGGTTAATAAACCAAAATAATTAAACAGCGACATCTATATGTGATTTAGATTTTCGGAATGGAATATGACCTTAATTATACCCTATACCAAAAGGTGGTCAGGGTATTATGTCTTTGTGCATTTGTTTGTTACAGGCAAAAGGAAACGAGATAGACCCATAATTCCTTTTGATGATCTGCATAGAATCACATTCTGAGTCGATTTATGCATATCCGTCCGCCCTCTGTCCTTCTGTCCGTTCGTTCGTCCATGGATTTTTGTGAACAATGTTCAGTTCGCATTTATTGCCCGATTCAGATGAAATTTTGCACAAATCATTTGTTTGGTCCAAGGACGAACCTTATTGAAATTGGAGATAATCGGTAAAAATTTAGTTATTGCTCTCATATTTATCTTCGTCCGATTTGCCTTTTATTGTGCACTAAACGTGTAATATCAGCCCGAATAGTATGGAATTTTGCACATACAACCAAATTAGGCCTGAAAATAAGTATGCCAAATTTGATCGAAATCGCTTCAGATATAGCTATAGCTCCCATATATATTGTTCATCCGATTTGTTATTTTAGTCCACAGCAGCCGTAATATGCACTCTGTAACAACAATATTTGGGGAAATATATCAAATAAAACTCAGAAATAGATCGGTTAATATTTGGATATAGCTCCCATACATATTTTCGTCCGATTTGCTTTTTATTGTGCACCAACCGTGTAATATTAACCCAAATGAAATGGGTTGGGTGATACTTACGACCAAATTGAATCTAGAAACCAATATGTCAAATTTGGTGGAAATCGGTTCAGATTTAGATATATATATCTATCCGAGTTAATTGTGCACCAAATGAATAAATAATACAAGCCCGAATTGAAAAGGCGCAAATGCCTCGACAATTTTAGTAGAAATCGATTCAGAGGATATATTCCTCTCATAAAATTTGTCATATGGGGTCATATTGGTCCACGTTTTCAGGGGGGCCCAATATAACGGTATCTCCCAATATTCGGTATTTTGACGATTTTAGAGATATTTTTTACCGGAATTGTTTCGTATTTAAAGTTCCAAATGGAAACTTCAGTCTATGACAAAAAAAAATCGCTTATACATTTACACGTCTTCGTATAGCCCTATACAACGATACCTCCCGATACACGGTATTTTGAAGATTTTAAAGGCATTTCTCACCGGAATTGCTTCAAATTTCGTATTTGCAGTTCGGTATCGGTACTAAAGCCAATGACAAAAAATCACTTGTGAATGAAAGCATAAATGCACCATACAGGGTGAGATAAAAAATGCAACATAGTCAAACGACATAATTTTTATTTTTTTTTTTAAATTTTATTAAATGAAAGCAAAAAATGTCGGAAATAGCATTAAACTTTAGAATAAGTTTAGATTTCTTCGAATTGGTCACCTTTGGCACGAATTATGAAACCGTCACACGCTGCCCCAATGTTGCTCTGCGGTATTTTGGCCTATTCCCGGCGAAGCGCTTGCTTGAGGTGATCGACACATTGGTATTTTTTAGTGCCAACCTTGCTTTCTAAAACACTCCAGACACAATAGCCCAACGGATTGGTATGCGGAGATTTTGGCGAGCATTGTGCGCTGGAAATGAAGCGAGGAACCTCATTTTGTAACCATTCTTGGGTGGCAGTTCACCACTTTCGGCCAAGCGAAGCAACACTTTAGCTCTTTTGAATCTATTTTCTTTCTGTTACGGTGTAAGTTCTTGCACTTTTTGGAATTTCAATGGCTTACCCCGAGTTCATTTTTCAATATTTGCCGAATGAAATATTGCGATATGTTCAGCTCACGAGCCATTTTTCGGCCACTTCGTCACGGATTTCGATCAAGTCGCTTTTTTACTTTTCGAAACATTTCTTCTGATGTTGCTGTTTTCTTCCGTCCACTTCCTTGACGTCGGGTTACGCTACCAGTATCACGGTAACGAGCGATGGTACGAGACACAAAAGATTAATTCACATTTAAATGCTGGAGTGCTCTTCCGATAGGCACTTGTAGTTTTCCAGCCAAATATAAAGAAATCACACCATCCCGCTTGAATTCCATCACGAATAACTTTTTTTCTGCAAAATTCTCACCAAAAGGCTCTTGTACGCTTGTAAATAATATAATGAGCTGTCACTTGAATAAATTTAGAAGCTGTAGGACGAGTGGCTTAGAAATGACAGCAGTCTGAATTTGGTTGAAGTTTTTCATCCCACCCTGGATATATTAAATTTTAAGTGCTGCGATTCTTTTTAAAGCAAGTTTTTAACATTATTTTGAAAAGGTGCCTAAAACGACGCCTTTGATGACTCGGTTTTTAGCTTCAAATTTTAATTCGAATATTTGAAAATTCAAGGATTCCAAGAAATCTTAATCTAAAAATTTTGAAAAATGTTGAAGTTAAGCTTTCAATACACCGATACACATGTCCTTTATTTTTATCTCTACCTTCACAATCTAATGGATTTTTTTTCTGTACTTATTTTTTTTCTTGCACAATATAATACAATAATCTACCATGGTTTCGGAAGAGCAACCAACTCTCATCAGTTCCCTTAGTATTGGTATGATATTGCCTCCCTTACCCCCTGGAAATTTTGAAATTAATTGATATAATTACCCATACGAATAAATCGGTTTAATTTTTATAGAATGGCAACACCATAAAATATGAAATAATTTTTTTTTATTAAAATCATCACTTGCCATTGTGTTCAATGAAAGCTAAATATTTTCCAATTTATATGACGTCCACAAAATCACAAACACATCCACCGCTATTAACGTCATTCATAAGAAAAATTTTTCCAATTTTATATTTTTTTTTTAATTAAAAACTCAAATAGTTTGCTTTCAATTTCACTTTTCGAAAATAATTTTTTAAATATTTTGGTTTTGCTTAAAAATAAAACACAGGACGGTGGTGACTGGTGGTTAGCCAATCGACTCAATATTGAGGCGTTCATAATGGGAAATAATAATAATAAACAAAGAAACATTCTTGTTATTACATTTTTTATTTATTTGTCCGAAAATTTTGGAAAAGCCTCATAAATCAAACAATTTGTAGCTGTCACATTTTTTTTCGTGAGATTTTCTTTTTATGATTTTATTGACATTTCAAATTATTTTCCGCCGTTTGTTTTTTTTTGCATTTCGCAGCGTGAGCTGTTCTACCAAATCGTTTGGGGTAAAATTCGCCTGCAGAGTTCATTGAATTTTTATCTTTCTCCGCCAATGTATTTTAATTGATCATCAATTAATCCAACTCAATTAGTGAGCTGATATTTTTTTTTACTGAAAACAAAGACCGTGCGATGCACAAGGAATAAAAATGAAGAACATATTTTGAAAGATGGTTATGTATCCAATCTTCGATTTAAAACCCCTATACAGGGTGAGATGAAAAAACTGGAACCAACTTTAGACTGCTGCCAATTCTAAGCCACTAGTCCGACAGCTGTAAAAATTATTCCAGTGACATCTCATTATATGGTTTACAAGCCTACAAAAGCATTTTGGTGAGAATTTTCTAGAAAGAAAGTTATTCGTGATTGAATTCAAGCGAGAGTGAGTGTGATTTATTTATATTTGGCTGGAAAACCACAAGTGGCTATCATTAGAGCACTCCAGCATTAGATGAAGTATGAAAATAGAATACTTCGGTCCGCTGTATCTGTTACCTCAAAAAATCCTTAAAAAATGTTGTTAAAATTTTAAAAATACCGAACATAGCCGTTATATTGGGGTCTATACGACGTGGACCTACAAAGTCATTGTTTGTCATAAGCCATTGCCATATTCAAATTCGAAACTTGAAATAAACGGTGAATAATGTAGCTAAAATCATCAAAATATCGTATAAAGGGAGGTGCCGTTACATCGGAACTGTGCGAAGACCTGGACCAGCATAGACAATTTTCTCTTACAGGCTGAAGCATCCATTACGAACTTCAAATACGACATCTCAAACAATTTCGGTGGGTATTATACCTAAACTCGTCAAAATACCGAATATTGGGAGGTACCGTTATATGGCGGCTATACGAAGACGTGGACCGGCACAGACAATTTTCTGTCATAGGCTGTAGTATCCATTTCGAACTTCAAATACCAAATTTGAAACATTTCCAGTTCATAATGTCGCTAAAATCATCAAAATACCAAATTTCGGGAGGTACTGATATATGGGAACTATACGAAGACGTGGACCTGCATAAACAATTTTCTGTCACAGACTATAGTTTCCATTACGAACACTAAATACGTAATTTGTAACAATTCCGGTGAATAATGTCGCTAAAATCATTAAAATACCGAATATCAAATACGACATCTCAAACAATTTCGGTGGGTATTATACCTAAACTCGTCAAAATACCGAATATTGGGAGGTACCGTTAAATGGGGGCTATACGAAGACGTGGACCTTCACAAACAATTTTCTATCTTAGACTGTAGTATCTATTACGAACTTCAAATACCAAATTTGAAACAATTCCCGTGAATAATGTCGCTAAAATCATTAAAATACCGAATTTCGGGAGGTACCGTTACATGGGGGCTATACGAAGACGTGGACCTGTACAGATAATTTTCTGTCATAGGCTGAAACATCCATTACGAACTTCAAATATCAAATTTGAAACAATTCCGGTTAATAATGTCGCTAGAATCATTTAAATACCGAATGTCGGGATGTACCGTTATATGGGAGCTATATGAAGACGTGAACCTGCACAGAT